AACGTATTAGTTTGCATTCCCACCAGCAGTGTAGAAGTGTTCCCTTTTCTCCACATCCACGCCAGCATCTCTGGTTTTGGGATTTTGTGATATGGGTTAGTCTTACTGGAGTTAGGTGATATCTCAAAGTAGTTTTGATTTGCATTTCTCTGATGATTAAGGATGGAGAGCATTTTTTTTAATATATCTGTAGGCCATGCGCCGATCTTCTTTAGAGAAATTTCTTTTCAAGTCCCTTGCCCACCCTGAGATGGGATCACTTGTTTTTTGTTCTTGTTTTTTTTTTTTTTTTAAGACAGACTCTTGCTCTGTTACCCAGGCTAGAGTGCCATGGCCTCAGCCTAGCTCACGGCAACCTCAAACTCCTGGGTTCAAGCAATCTTCTTGCCTTAGCCTCCCAAGTACCTGTAGTCTCAGGTACCTCCCACCACATGTAGCTAGTTTTCCTATTTTTAGTAGAGATGGGGTCTTTCTTGCTCAGGCTTGTCTTGAACTCCTGACCTCAAGCAATCCTCCCACCTCAGCCTCTCAGAGTGCTAGGATTACAGGCATGAGCTACTGCACTCAGCCCCTCTCCTTAATTTTGGTTGCTTAGAGCGTACCTCTCTGTAAAGTGCCAGGCCAGAACCTACAGAGTCCAGATAGCATCCCAGCCAGAACCTCTGGGCAGAAGAGAACAGCCTGGAGACATCAGCAGGAAGCTAAGCCAAGTGCTCTACTCCTAAGTTTACATCTCTACCATCCCCCATGACCCATGCTACCTTCTTCTCTCAGAAAATCAGATACTGATTCCTCTTTCAATAACATTTTATTTTATTATCTTTAATTTTCTTTTTTATTTTATTTATTGTTTTTTTGAGACCAAGTCTCACTCTGCTGCTCCAGGATAGAGTGCCATTGTGTCAGTCTAGCTTACAGCAACCTCAAACTCCTGGGCTCAAGTGATCTTCCTTCTTCAGCCTCAAGAGTAGCCAGAGTAGGCGCCCACCACAACACCAGCTAATTTTTCTCTTTTTAGTAGAGATGGGGTCTTTGGCAAAGATCTAAGAGGAAAGTATAAAGTGCTTGGCTTTAGAGCTTGGGATGAGGGTAAGAGGGAAAGGCCTCCTGTGTTCATACCATTTGGAATTTCCCAGTTCCTTAGAGATAAAAGTTTATCTTCAAGGATTTTTTTTTTCTACGAAAAAAGGAAAAAATGGCTCGGCGCCTGTGGCTCAAGCGGCTAAGGCGCCAGCCACATACACCTAAGGTGGCGGGTTCGAATCCCCAGCCCGGGCCTGCCAAACAACAATGATGGCTGCAACCAAAAAATGGCCAGGCATTGTGGCGGGCACCTGTGGTCCCAGCTACTTGGGAGGCTGAGGCAGGAGACTCGCTTGAGCCCAGGAGTTGGAGGTTGCTGTGAGCGTGATGCCATGGCACTCTACCCAGGGGGATAGCTTGAGGCTCCGTCTCAAAAAAAAAAAAAAGAAAAAAATTATCCTTGAGTTCTCTGGATAATAGCCAGTGTATGTGAAGAGCTCAAGGACATAACTATCACAGATAAGCATTTAAAATTATCACAAAGGAAACAGATCAGTCAACAGGGTGGAGACTGAGCCTACTTCAAAGGAAATAGGAAGAACAGAGAGATGAGGTGGAAGGTGGGTTCCCTGGGCTCTACATCAGGGACTCAATGGCTGGTAATTCCCCTGAAGTCTCCTGCAGTAAGTTTCGGGCAAAGGCCTGCTCCATCTGTACGAGAAGAGAAGGGGAAGAGGGTATCAGGAGCTCTCTTCCTGCTTGGAACCCCTTTGCCCTGTTGAACATCACTCCTCCCACCCTCATTAGACACACTACTCTGCCTCTGTTCTGAACTCACCTGCACTGTGATAAGATTCTGTGCAGTATAGCTGGGACCAGGGATCTCCTCCCAGAAATTCAGTGTTACCTGGAACTTGGGTTGGGGGCCTAGGCCCTGGAGGTAATTGGCCCAGTCTGAAAGAGAAATGGTCAAAGGTTAGAAGAAAGAGAGGAGAGGCAGGAGGGAAGAGTGAGGAATCCATGATGGAGAGGAGCACATAGAGACTAAGCCCAGAGCAGGAGCTACAGGGTCAGGAGAAATACTGGCAACCACGTGCTACCCACCTGTATACAAACAGCAAAGGTGTCCCTTCCACAAATAAGAGGTGGCAGATTATAGTACAACATGAAAAGCTCTCTGCTAGAAGAATTTAAAGTCCTTACAGGCAGTGGGGCTGGCTACTAACACCAAAGAGCCCAAACTTTGCTACTTGCTCACACATCCCAGTGCTAGGGGATGTGCACACTCCAGTGCACACTCCAGTGCACACTCCATCCCCCTTATACTCCTGGCCCCACTCTTAAGGTCAGATTTGGAGTTGACTGAGGGTTGGAACTGGAACTACAAAACTAGGTAGGGGTGAGGGGCAACCCTAGGGGATGGCTGGGGTGTGGTAGAGACAAGGTACAGGGGTGCAGGGTGTGGTGTGCACCAGCTCTCCCAAATACATGGATGGTTATGTGTACCAGTGTCTATGTAAGACAGGGCCATGAGACTCAAACCTCTGTGCCAATTATATTTGTCACCTCATATAATTATATGCATCAATGTGATGCTGCTCCCTAAGATGTGACACTCTTATGTTGGACTCCATCTGAACCTCATCTTTTGCAGCCTTGGCTGGGATAGAAGTGCTGCAGTAGCTGCCAGGCTGAACATATGGCCACATAGGATGTGCACACAGGAAAGCAGGGGTGCCATGCATAGGCTATGATTAAGGATCTGCTGACAAAGTGGTGGCAGAATCCATCAAATTGGGCCTGGGGGCACTAAGAGGTAGGGAGGCTCAGTGGTCCAGTAGGAGCAGCCTTACCTCTGCAGAAGGAGGCAGTCCTGAAGAGTTCCACACACTCGTTGCTAGGCAGCAGATGTGGCCCCGGCCCAGGTGGGGCCTGTGGTGCATTCCAGGAGATGGGGATGGGGCAAAGGCGCTGCACGAAGAGGCCTTGGGAGTTGCTGGCCACCAGGACACCTCTCTCAAGCTGGCTCAGCAGGCGCTGTGTGGGCTCCAGTGGGTTAGGCTTGGGAAACACCACCTGCTTCATGCTGCTCTCTGAGCTGTAGGCCTCAGCCACAAGGCGGCAGTCCAGGCTCTGTACTTGCACCTTGCTCACCACATGCCCGCTGTAGATGAAGGTGAGCAGCAGCGAGTAGTCTGGGGATAGAAAAGCCCAGTTGGGCCTGGTGCCAGAAGAGTGTATGGGATATCTCTTTACCTCTGCCCCCTCCCCAGGCAGGGGGCTTCCTTAGGCTTTCCTACTACTGAGGGGGAGTAACGAATATGTGTATTCATGGGGCATTGGGACTTATGCCCAGGCCTTGGAGTTTCCAAGAAGGTCCCTGGAGATGGGGCCTCTGTTTAGCTTAAAGAAATCAAAGTCATAACATTGACTGCCAGGAAACAGAATGTGTACAGTTGTACTTTTTTTTTTTTTTTTGCAGTTTTTGGCTGGGGCTGGGTTTAAACCCACCACCTCCAGCATATGGGGCTGGTGCCCTACTCCTTTGAGCCACAGGCGCTACCTTGTACATTTGTATTTTTAAGAAGCAACCATTTTGGAGTCTGGACAAGCAAGTGGAATTCTCACTCCCTAGTAACCTGTACCTCAGTCTATGTAAGGCTGGCTCAGTTTGCTGCAAGCCTAGACTAACTAGACAACTAAACATAGTCAAAGGAAGAAGACTTGGGGGGAATAGGGAATAGGAAAGAGCTGGAAATGTCAAGTACCTGACTCTGGAGGGGGCAGAAACTCCAGGGACACCTGATCCTCTTGAAAGAGGGCCTCAGTTGTGTCGGTACCTAGAAGGGAGGCAAAGGCACTGGTCATTCAGAGTAGGACTGGGAGTCCCAAAAGCCAGAAAGTATGACACAAGGAAGACACAAGAGACAGGGGAGATGGTACCTTCCTGCAGCTCAGGGCTGTGGCTGTGGCTGCTGCTGCTGCTGCTGCTGCTGCTGCTTTTGCAATCTGAATAGCCTTCTCTTCCACCAGTCCCCTCCTCCTCCTATAGACACAGTGCCTATCATCAGCTCACCTCTCCCTCTCATTTCTGTCCTGCCCTCAGGCCCACCCAGGTCCCTCCCCAGCTCTCACATTATCAAGGGGGTCCTGAAGCAAGAAGTGACTGGGTTTACAGTTTTTCAAAGTACTCGCTTCCTCTTCCTTCTCAGAGGACACACAACTATGGCATCGCTTTGATGGTGATTTCTGGATCCCTGGCTTGGCTGTGGAATCATTGAGCGGGAGAGAAAGGTCAGGGCCTTTCACAGGCACAGAGGGTAAGGGAGAGGTATGAGGCAGGGAAAGGATGGGCAGAATTAGGAAAGGGGTCCTGGGTTGCAGCTCCCCAAGGGCAGGGATGGGGCAAAACCCTGAGTGGCACAGGTTAGGCTTGTATCTATATCCTTCCTCCTCAGTCTGCTGGTTCACTCACAAGTTCCTGGTGGTACCAGTCGATACACCTTGTAGGGCTCAGCAACATCCATGCGGCCTCTCTCAGGAACCTCTTCAAACTCAGGGCTCTTGTTGAGGGCACAGCGCAGGCGAGTCTTCCAGACAGCAGGGCCTTCTGTGTCCCCTTCCTTGAACTTTCCTTTAAATATTGCCCAAGCCTAGGAAAGAGAAGGAAAGAGGCAGCATGTTATAGACCTCAACTGCCCCTCCAACAGGGCTACCTTCATGGGCCACAAAAGCACTCACACAGGGCCCTGAGTTCAGTGAGCTCAGAATGGTTCGTTCATGATGGCTTTGTACTCTGGTGCTGCCATCTTGAGATCTTAATAGTGTTTTTTTTTTTTGTTTTTTTTTTTGAGATAGAGCCTCAAGCTGTCCCCCTGGGTAGAGTGCTGTGGTATAACAGCTCACAGCAACCTCCAACTCCTGGGCTCAAGCGATTCTCTTGCCTCTGCCTCCCAAGTAGCTGGGACTACAGGTGCCCGCCACAATGCGGTTATTTTTTTGGTTGCAGCTGTCATTGTTGTTTGGCAGGCCGAGGCTGGATTCGAACCTGCCAGCTCAGGTGTATGTGGCTAGAGCCTTAGCCGCTTGAGCCACTGGCGCTGAGACAAGATCTTAATAGTTTTTGAATGAGACCTCTACATTTTCATTTTTGCACTGGGCTCTGAAAGTGATGCAGCTGGGTCTACTCTCCAACAACCTGCCCTTTACCTGAAACCCAGGTGGATGCAAATGCTTGAGGGTAAGTGTACCAGTGTACAGTCCATCCCTCACTCAGAGGGGATGGTGGTTTCCAGGCCTTTTCACCTTGAAGAAAGCAGCATCTTGGTCCTCCCGGAAATCCTGCTTGCCTGCATGCTTCCAGGGAATCCGGAACATGGTCTTCTCTTCATCATCCCAGCACACCCCTGGAAACTGTCCACTCTCCACTTGCTCCACCACCCAGTTTCGGAGTTTTCGGGTGCTGCGCACCCTGCCTGATGCCATTCTGGGGGATGAGAGAAGCAGGAAGCATCAGAACTACCCCTTGGGAGGGAACATCTCCTGGGACCTTGGCCAATGGGGCTAGATTCTATGAACGGCCTCCAGAGACCCTATCCATCTTCCCTCGGCTCTAGATACATTTCAACCTTCTCTGAGGCAGAACTGTTTCATTTCTACCGTTAGCAATTACCAAAAAAAAAAAAAAAATCCATTCTAAGCTGTGACACCTGGAAGGAAACCTTAGGCATTGGTCTACGTTGTAGGACTTTTCAGGAATGTTTCGTTTGGGAGAGAATTCCCCTGGTGTTCTGTTCCTGGCAAGAGGCCCTGTGCACCTGTAAAGACAGTATCTGCTTCTGAAATGCCTCAGCTCTCTTCTTTTCCCCCCTCCCCACAAGCTGTCCTTTGAATCCCATCCCTCCCCCCCGTTTGCCCCAAGGGGAGGTAGGTCAGAAAGCTGGGTGGAGCTGCAGCAGAAGTGGGCAGGGTCCGGAGGCAAGCCGTCGAACAGTCAGGTGAGGATAGGGCAGGCGCCTTACTCTCTGAGCTACCAACAGGCCTTCCTGTCCTTTGCCTGCGGGAGCACTCGCCCGCCTGTCTCTCACTTACTCTCAGGCCAAACCTGCTTCCTAACTCACAGGCCTGTCTGTCTATTCTTCAGTGTAGCAGAGGAGCCCCAAGAGTCCCCACCCCCAGCTCCAATTTGGTTGGCCTTTGTAGCCCGAGATCCCAGGCTCGCTTTCCTACTAGGCTGATCTTACCTGAGCCGCTGTCCAGGCTGTTCCAGGGCTCAGAGGACCTCAGCTTAGTTCCTGGATAGGCGTCTCCGTGATCTCTCCGCCCTTTTCGATAGTCCCCACCCTAAGTTTCAGTTCTCCTCCAGGGAGGTCCTTTTCCCAGAAATCACGTGGCTTCAAAGTTGCAGGGCAGCTGGCTGCCACCAGAGGGAAGCAGTATATGAGACTCTCACTGTCAAAATCCCACTGTGAGCAGCAAGTTCAGCTCCTGCCTTGCTATCTTTCCCCTTCCTCCTTCCCATACTCCTGTGTGACACTGCAGCTCACCAGGGAGCCCAGAGTTTCCTAGTCTGGCCTGGGGCCTCTGGATTGCGGTGTACACCTGTGCATCTGCATTCTCCCAGTGTCTGCCTGGTACAAATTACAGGACTTCAAATACCAGCCAAGTTTGATGAAAAAACTAGTGTGGGAGGAAGCCCAGGCCAGGTAGCTGGATGGGAGGGCCTCCTTTGCCTATCTGTGGTATCAAGTCCTTCCTAACCCTGAGTCCAGGGTGGTCAAGAGGTAAGTTTCAGGGGTCCCTTTCAGAAAAACTGTTCACCCCTCCTCTTTCCATGGTTTCCCTAGATGGTGGGGCCAGGAAGAAGGACCACCAAGAAGCCTGCACAATAAGATGCTTCTTTATTGGTGCTGGAGCTGTTCCTGATGGAGTCAGGCCACAGGACCCTCATCAGGACTCTTGCCCTCGGCTACTTCCTTCTGCGAGGGATACTCTGTCCCAGGGGCACCTCTTCTGTCAGCTTCTGCAGAGAGAGAAGGTAATGATACTGGAAGCCTGGAGCTCAGACAGTCTAGAACAGGTGACTTCTGGAGGGTGGGGTCAGAGGCAAGGCTGGGTGAAGGCTATACCTGTAACAAGCGGGCACGGTAGACAGGGACATCCTCTCCAGCTAGAGGCTGGGGGCGCAAGTGCAGGTAGCGTTCAGTGGCCGTCTCCAGCTCTTCCACCTCATACAGGGTGGCTGGGTCTAGTGAGTGGGCATTGATGAGGCTCACAAGATACTCTTTGTAGTGTGCCCTGGTAGGAGAGCAGAATACTTGTTCTTTTGTTGGCTAATATTAATCGGACACAGGATACTCAAATAAGACTGACAAGCCCTGCCTATTGTACTTATAGGCAGTGCCAACCTGCACACACTGCCTGCTACCACCTACATATGCCCTTGCCCTGAGAGCCCACTTTCTCTCACCTCTTATGGGAGTGATTGCTCCCAGAGACCCACTTTACTGCCTGGGAATGCCCTCACCACTCCTACCCTCATGCCCAACACCATGTTCTGTGTCCTGCCAGCACTCACTGGCAGAGGCCGGCATAGCCAGCTGGAGTTTCCTTGCCACAAGCTTCATCCCTGAGCCCATTGGGAACCTCTTTCTGTTCCATCACTCGGCAGCCACCTATGGGTGAGGGAAGAAAGGGACCTTTTGTTGGGAAGAGGCCACTGACCACAAAGCCCTAGGAAAAATGGAATATCCAGAGCAGGGTAGGCAGTCTCCAGGGATGAGACTGAGCATAGAAATTCCTGCTCCCCTAGTGGTGGAGGGTACTTAGAGATGCCAACGGCAGATCAACTCTGACACAGAAGCAGGGACCTTGTTGTCCTTCCTTTCTCAAAGCTGGCTTTTCACTCATCAACACACATGCCCTTGAGATAGCTCTTTTGGTTGTTATTTAGCTCTCGCATAGTTAACTGATTCTCTGAAGGTCTTACCTCTATTTTTTTTTTTCTGGAACAGAGTCTCATTTTGTCACTCCCAGTAGAGTGCTGTGGTGTCACAGCTCAAACTCTTGGGCTCAAGCAATTCTCTTGCCTCAGCTTCCCAAGTAGCTGGGACTACAGGTGCCCACCACAGTGCCCAGCTATTTTTTTGTTTTTATTTGCCCGGGGCTGGGTTTGAACCCACCAGCCCTGGTGCATGTGGCTGGCACCCTACCCACTGAGCTACAGGCACCACCTCTATTTTAATTTTAGTCGTAACACTTTCCTTTTCTCTGGTCTGTTTCATGACACCTTGAG